AACACGGCATAAATATCTATTAGTTTGGTGTTGGTTGAGCCATACAACTCATTGTTGTCGTGTATCGACTTAACTATAATTTATTTGTCCAGTTACTCGGACTTCAGATCTGGGGGCATAGCGAACCTGTCTTCAACCAACGAGTAATTCGTGATATTCCTGTTGGCCACGTGTTGATTAGATTACAGTTCCTAGAACATGCTTCAGTTATTACCACAGTAGGTTAGGTAAATACCTTTTCTTATATAATATTACGCCCCCTTCATATCCCATCGTGTTATTTCAAGGTTGAAATGATAGTGGTATTAATTCTAGCGCCTACTCAACCTGAAAACGTATTCGTGGGAGTAGCAGAGGAAGGTGGGGGAGAGGGAGTAAATGGCTGGAATTCTTATGCTGAACACAAAGGGCCTTTTACCATATTTTTTTATTTTGGCATGTATGGTGACCCCCCCCCCCCCCCCCCCCCACACCCCGCAAAAAAAAACCCAAAATACCCCAAAAATCTGTTCAAAGCGGAAAAATTAATGAGTTTTTTTTGTAATGAGACACTGCCGGATATGATTTAAGGCTCTGGGTTAAAGAAGTATTTGAGCCATAACAGTCTTCTTCATAATACCACTAATAAATAACCGGGGCTTCGCGACACACATATAGGATATTTTTTAATAGGATCTCATTTTAATATTGATACGTAATAAAGAAAATGGGCTTGGGTGCATTTATAAGATAGTGAGTTAATAACAGGATGGACCTAGTTTACTTCCTTAAACGCACGTGACTCAAATCATAGAATCTCTGAAATATTTCAAGCAAATAGTATTTATACTTTATGTCGATCTGGGGTCTACTCACAGATCATTTCATCTGGTTATGGTTATATTATGCGAATCAGACTTTTAATTCAGAAATATAAATTTGTGCGAAGAATTGTTTTTAAGATTAAAAAAGTATATTAAAGTCTGAGCAATAGATAAAATATGGTTTAACTAAGTACTGAGTTTCGGACTATTAATATAAGGTGAATAGCCTTTGAAGCATAACATGTCAACTAATATATAAAGCTTTCTAAAAATATAAAATCCAGCCTTTTATTGAATAAGGTGGTATGTACTATTATTACATGGTATTGACAGTCATCATATTATGAGTATAGTAATGTGGTGGCGGACATTGCATAATGTTTCTCTCTACCTCATTATGTCAGTTTAATAAAGTGACCATATTACCTTCGGATTTTTTAATCCGTTTTACCCTTGTCATTCGGAGGGGTTAACATGGAAAAAGCGTCTGGTCTTTCAGATAGGACATTAAACGAAGGCCCCATGTGCTACAGACTGTTCCGGTTAAAGTTAAAAGAGCAGGCTAATGCCGCTGTCTAGGCAAACTGTTCCTTATTTTACACATTTCCTGTATTCATTAGCCCATAAGACGCAGGAAAGTAGTACGTAAAACTCCATTCATCTCATTTTCATTTTACCCCGACAGTAACTATTAATAGGGTCATAGCCCAGTGACCTGTGTGACATGAACATGACACAGTTTTATAGTACTCAAACACGAGATTTGGATTGTAGAGGTTACTAGTCGCGGCGGGTGATAAGTATCGTATCCCAGCTATAATAACGTGATAAGTATCATATCCTAGCCCTGATATCATAATACGTAGTCTATCTTAGCCCTGATATCGTCATAAGTGTCATATCGTGATACCTAATATCGCGATCCCTCATGTCGTAATCCCTAATATCGTGATAAGTATCGTATCGTAACCCTAATATCGTGATCCATAATTTCGTGATAATTATAGTATCGTAGCCCTAATAACGTGATAATTATCTCATCGTAGCCCTTATATCGTAATACGTATCGTATCTTACCGTATATCGTGATACATATTGTATCGTAGCCCTATTACCGTGATAAGTATCGTATCTTGACATAATTGTAAAGCAGTAATTGAAATGTCGGGGCATTGATTCATATATGAATTAAACTATTAAATATAACATAGGAGCACAGCAAGAGGCGTCTATAGTCAGTCATAATTTACTGGTTCTTGAAAAATTGAAATCATATCCATTCTGTAAAGTATAATAAGGTCTATCCGAGGTTGATACCGTTGTCCTGAATTTTCCTCATTGCACACTATTGCACTATTGTAGCACACAAATGGGACAAATAATGTAGCAATTATTTCCTTAAACTCGTATTATTATTTCAATTTCTCATTTACCTTGCTTTCCTCACGTAGTGTAACCATTTCAAATATTGCCCGGTTTCATAAAAAATGTTTAAAATATGATAGTAATTAAGACTTATATTAACGTTTGTTTATACAACCAAATAAACAATCTGACAAAATATGGTTTTCATATTCACATAAATGTAACATATACAATGAACTTAAGTGCAATAAAAGTTTATATTGGGTTAATCAGTATATTTATATTTTTTGAGGAAACAGGAGAAAGCTGGATTTATACTTCTGAAGTCTGTAACTGCGATAATACGCTAACATACGCTTGCAGTCCGCAGATGCCAGTGTTCGTCAGCGCATGGGTTTAT